AAAAAAAAAAAAAAAAAATCAAATCCTAGGGGCTGGGGAGATAGCTCAATAAAATAAGTGCTAGGGCCTTAGTTCAATCCCTGGTTCTGAAAAAAAAAAAAAAAATTCATTTCACACCACAGATAAAAAATAATTCAAGAGGGATGATAGCATTAGACATAAAAGCTCAAGTTACGGGATTTCTAGAAAATCTCATAAGTTCAGTGGCTTAAGTGCCAGCCTGGCAAATGCAAGATCCTGAGTTCAATCCCTGGTACAAAAAAAAAAAAAAAAAAAAAAAGGTTTCTAGAATAGAATGTCCAGAAAGATCTTCATGATTCAGAGTTAGAGGGGGAAAAAAATCAAGCTACAAAAGAATAAAACTGATGAGAAAATATATTGTGTTAAGTCAAACTATGGGAAATGTTTGTAATACATGTTAAAGACCCAAAGACTTGTATCCAAAATGTGCTAAACCTTCTTCAGATCAGTAACAAAAAAGACACCCTCTTCCTCTAAGTTGGCAAAGTCTTCAAATTTCATAAAAGAGCCGGAGGTATAGCTCAGTGACACAACACCTTCCTGACAAGCCCAAGATCTTAAGTTCAATTCCTGGTACAGGAAAATAAAAAGCTGGACATGGTGGTACACACCTGTAATCCCAGGAGTCAAGATGCTGAGGCAGCAGGATTGCTGAAAGTGTGAGGCCAGCCAGGGCTTCATAGTGAGTTCAAGACTTACCTGAAGTGCATAGTGAGACCTTGCCCCCATGAGAGGGGGAGGGGTGGAGAGGGGAGGAAGGAGAAAAAGAAGGAGGAGGAGGAAGAGAAAAGAGAAGAGTAGAGAAATAACAATAAGAAAAGCAGGTAGTAGTTAGGTCCATCCACCATAAATAAAGATGTACTCAAGCACATGAAAGGTGCTGAAGTTCATAGGTCATCTGGAAGATAGAAATTCAAATCGTAATTAGGTATTATTTTCTACTGACACAAAGGGATAAAATTAAAGATAGGTTTATACCACATACTGATGAGAATACAGAGTAGTCAAAAGTCTTATACAGTGCTAGTGGGATTATAAATTAGTAACTTTGGAAGATTGTTTGGCAGGTCCTAATAAATTCTTGTTAACTATGTATTTAAATGCAAATGACCCAGCAGTTCTACTCTTAGGTTTTAACCCTAGAGAGTGAAAATACATGTTCACATAAAAGTCCTAGAGGTTTAATTCATAATAGCTAAAAGTTAGAAACAAGTCTTAAAATGGGGCGGGAGTCAAATTTCTATCACTGAGAAAATGGGTAAATATTGTAGGTTCATAAAATGAATACTAGTCACAATTAAAAAATGAACTCTTGAGCTGGGGATATAGCTCAATGGCACAAATGGCTGCCTGGCAAGCACAAGGGCCTCAGTTCGATTCCTGGTACCAAAAAGAAAGAACTCTTGCTATGTATATATAAATAACATAGCTGTAATGCACAGACATATAGTTTAAAAAAAAAAAAAAGGCAGATACCAAAAGACCACATTGTGGTACTTTTTATTTTATGAGCGTTAGAAACAGCACCAGTGGTGGTAAAAGTCAAATAGCAGCTGCCTATGATGGATGAAATGTTGTATCTTGACTTGGTTGTTGGTAATGCAAGTGTAAAAACTTGTAAAATTGGGCTGGTGAGATGGCTCAGTGGTCTAAAGCACCTACTTAGAATAAGCTAAGCTAAGCAAAGCACAGGGACCGCGGTTCAATCCCCCAGCACCACATGCCAGCCAGCCCCGCCTCCTGGCGGGCTGAGCTGGCCACACACACACAAAATAAATAAGTAAATAAACAAACAAATAAATTAAAAAAAAAACTTGTAAAATTCATGAACTTGTACACTTAAGATCAGTGTGTTTCACTACATAATATTACAACCCAGTAGATTTGCATAAATCTTAGGGATTTTTTACTAATTCTTATATGTAAATATATAATTTTTCAAATATTTGTTTAGCCTCAGTTATGTGGGAGTATTTGTGGATTTTTAGAAATACGTATTAATGAAACTTTTTAAAGGTACTTTTGTGGAGCCGGGGAGATGGCTCAGTGAAATAAGTGCTTCCCTGGCAAGCGCAAGGGCCTGAGTTCAAACCTCAGTTCTGCAAAAAAAAAAAAAAAAAAGTATTTTTGTGCTATACTGTGTACAGTACCTCCTTCTTCTTTTGTGTGTGTGTGTGTGTGTGTGTGTGTGTGTGTGTGGAACCAGGGATTGAACTCAGGCCCTTGTGCTTGCCAGGGAAGCGCTTATTCCACTGAGCCATCTCCCTGGCCCCAGTACCTTCTTTTGAAGGTTATTTTTATAATAAAGCAACTAGTTTCAGTATAAAGGAAGATATTAATTTAGAGAGATTGAGAAGGGTCTCACTACCAGATTGGACTCATAGTGAGCCTGTTTACAGCCTCCCAAGAGCTGGGATTACAGGCGCGCTCTACCATGTCCAGTCTCAATTGCTGTCTCAGTGCACCCTGGGGGTGGGCCCAGCACAGCAGACCCAGATATCAAGATACCCCTGGCCCCAGCACTTGCTTGCAGGCACTTTAATCCACTGAGCTATTTAAAAGGATTTGTTTCCCTATTCTTTGCTACAAGAGTTGAAAATTAAATATAATGAAAACAGTTTCAGTAGCTAAGCTTGCTAAAGTCAGTGAGTAATTTTAAAAATGGAAAATGCTGCTAAAATTGTAATCTGATTCAGATATCAGTAGTTATTGTTTATGCCAGTCATTGGCTAAATTAAAGTGTAGGACAACTAAGTAGGTTTGAATTTGTTTTTTCCAACATCTGTATTTCTGTAGCCATTCTTGAGCTGCTGCTTCTTGTACATGATCTTTCATGGTATCTATTCTTTTAAATTCCTTTTTTCTCCTATTATTGTACTGGGAATTGAGACCAGGATCTTCACACAGAGCTTTATCTTCAGCTCCTCTTCCCCCCCCCTTTTTTGTATTTTTGATATAAGGTCTTACTAATTTGTCTAGGCTGGGCTAGAACCTGGAATCCTCCTGCTTTGGCCATACCTAGTGCTCTGATTACAGGCATGTACCACTCTGGTAAATTCTTTTTTATATTTAAAAGAATGGTTCCATAATAACTTTTGCTAGGTGAATAATTTTAACCCTAAAACCTAATTTAACATCACTGGTGTCAGACTAATAGTCTGAAGTATTCTATTTGTCTCTCCTTTTTCCAGTTTATCCCTTTTTTTTTTTTTTTGTCTGTATAATACTGGGTATCAAACTCAGGGCCTTGTACATGTTAGTTATACTTAAATCTTCTTTTAAAATTTAACTTTTTCTTTACCTATGGAAATTATGTGGAAAAATATTGGTAATCCTGATGACCTTTTTAAAAAATAAAAGACCTAAAGATTCAGTTAATACAGGAAGCAGAACATGTTATATATTTGCATAAAGATAATAAAATTGAATTTTAGGAACGAGTACAGAAGACCTTTCCTCATCCAATTGACAAATGGGCTATTGCGGATGCACAGTCTGCCATAGAGAAGCGAAAGCGAAGAAATCCTCTTTTATTGCCTGTGGACAAAATCCATCCTTCTTTAAAGGTAATAAAAGATTATTTGTAACAAGTAATGCTTTATATAGGATTTATGTATTTATATAGTATCAATGTAATATGGTCTCTTAGTGTGGTATTTGCATGTATGTTTGTAGTATATATTCATAGTAAGTCTACATTAATGTGTACAAAATTAGAATAGGAATGGCAGAGCACATGCTTAGCATGTGAGAGGTCTAGGTTCAGCCCTCATCCCATCCTTTGTGGCATCTTCCAAAGATTATTGTCTTCTTAGTCCTAAGATGAGCTCTTGTGTAATAGGCTATGACTCTCAGCCTTTTATAGATTGAAAAAATATGTAACATCAAGAAACTACTGCAAGCTCAGAGATGTATTTAAAATAATTAGTAATACATATATTTTAACACATTTTGGAAAAACAGGCTAGAGAATATTATTTTGTTTATAGAACATTCTTGGTATACATGGATTTGAACACCTTGTAGCAATGGCAAGAATACTTCCCCACACACATACTGTCACTTCTATTAGAAGATACTGATTTTATTACTTCATTATCTGGGGATTGAATTTGGGGTGCTCTGCCAGGGAACTATATCTCTTGCACTTTTTACTTATTTTTAAATTTAGAAACAAGGTCTTGCTGAATTGCTCATATGGGTCTTGCTGGCCTTGAACTTAGAATCCCCCTACATCAGGAGGATCCCAAGTAACTGAGGTTACAGGCAGGTGCTACCTTGCCTAACTAGTATACTGATTTTAAAGCAAAGTCCTTAAAGAAAGGAGCTATTTGTCAAATGGTTTCAGATAACATATTAAGAGGCTTTAGGGGCCGGGGAGATAGCTCAGTAGAATAAGTGCCTGCCTGGCAAGCGCAGGGTCCTGGGTTCAATCCCTGGTACTGAAGAAAAAAAAAAAAAAAAAAAAAAAAAAGGCTTTAGTGAAGCTTAGCCTAAGATTTCTCTGTTAGAACTCTGAAGAGGCAGATTTGTTAGGTTAGGTATCTCTCTTAAAAACAAAAAAGCTCATTAACACTGGAATCAGAGGCTCATTTTATACCCTGTAGTACACCCAAGAAGTGAGATTTGGTTTATAGAAAGTTCTTCATAAACAGGGATGCTAAATTGGAGTATTTAAGTGTTTGATGTGTGATAGTATTTTGAAGTTCAAGTGTTTACTTTTTTCCACAGGAGGTTTTGGGGTATAAAGTGGACTACCATGTGTCCCTGTATATTGTGGCTGTACTGGAGTACATCTCAGCAGATATTTTAAAATTGGCTGGTAATTATGTTTTTAATATCCGACATTATGAAATATCTCAGCAGGACATCAAAGTATCAATGTGTGCAGATAAGGTAAGTGTTGAGTTGTATTAAACTTAAGTTGAATAATAGTGATTGTGTATTATCTCTGCCTCATTCTGTTTTGTTTGGCTTTGGTTTGTGGTTTGTGGCTTCTTGTGGGTTTTTTTTCCCTTTACTTTTTTGAGTCAGGGTCTGGGTCTTAACTATGTGTAGTTCAGGCTGACCCAGGCTGACCTTGCAGTCACTGTATAGGCCAGCCGGGCCTGAACTTGCAGCAGTCCTACAGGTTCAGTCTCCTCGTGAGTGCTGGGACTAGAGGCAGGCACCACCACGCATGGTGGCTCATCATTTTTGTATATGATTGATTATATTAGTAAATTGTATGATTCCTGATATTAGAAGAATCCTGACTTTACAGGATAAGGGCTGTTTTCTTCTATCAAGAATCTTTTACCTACATGTAAAAATATCCAAAGCTTCAAACCAGTTTTTAAAATACACCCTGAATTTTTATAGTTTTAGAATGAGAGTTCTGCTTTGGTACTTCTAAGTAAAAGTAATTTTGAAGAGAAGACTGGTTTCACAAAAAAGTTTAGTGAAGCACAGGCAGAGAGAAAAGGACTTTGCAGTACAAAGTTCCTCTCTTCTGCTGAGTTTTCCATTGCATATCTGTCTCCTTCCTGGCTATTAGCTACTTGAAGGAGAAAATTGGGTTCATTTTCTTCTCTTCTGCTTTTCTTCCCTTTCTATTTTTATTCCTTATTTTTTTAAATCACTATTTTTATTTTTATTTGTATTTTAGTACAAGGTCTATAGGGTCTCACTATGTAGATCAGACTTGTAGTGATCTGCCTGTGTTCAGCCTCCCAAGCGCTGGGATTATAGGCAAGCACCACCACTTCTAGTCTTAATCGCAGTCTCAGTGCTCCCAGGGGCAGGGCCTGCATGGCACGCTGGGGAACAAACCCTGGCTGCTGAGTCTGCCTAAGCAGGCGCTTTAATCCTCCAAGCTATTTGGCTGGCCCCTAAATCTTTCATTTGTGTGTGTGTGTTTGGCAGAACCAGGGATTGAACTCAGGCCCTTGCGCTTGCCAGGCAATGGCTTATTCTCCTGAGCTATCTCCCCAGCCCCTAAATCATTATTTTTGAACCATCTTTTATGTGCCTACATTTTCCTGAACTAGGAAGACACAGTATCAAATAAGAGAGTAATCCATGTGTTAGAATTTATTTTAGTGTGAAATTAAAATATGCTAAGAAAGTAACAGCCCTAGCAAGTAACAGCCCTTATTCTGCCATGTTTAAAAACTTGAAAATGGCCACTCTGTAAACTCAAGATTTCTCTAATACTAGGAATCATAAAATTTACTAATATAATCATATACAAATCATGACTTAAGCTATGATGGAAGTAATCAGCTCTGGTGTGGAGGGTCAGGAAGACCTAAGAAGGGACACCTACGTGTGTCCAGGGCTTGCACATGCTGGCTTTTCTCAGCTTTCACTACACATTGTGATTGCTAAAATGCTTTTAAAGAAACCTGATGCCTGTATCTTATCCCCAGAGCCAGGTGACTCAGAACCACAGCTGTCCTGTTGGTTGGTATGGGAGAGTCATGCACTGCCTCTGGTGGTTCAAGCTGGCAGGAAAGTGTTCAGTGGCTGATTTGAGAGTTCTGGTGCAGATTGTTGTTCTTTTTTTTTCTATTAGGAATATATGTGCATGTATACACATACATGTTACACATGTGTACACATACAGATGCATATATGTACATACACGCACATATATGTACATACATATATATGTACATATACATACATGATATGCGTGTATCTCAGCATTTGGTTTTTCTTTTTCCAGTAATACTTTTTATATTGAATTTTGAACCCCAGCCCTAGCGCTTGCCAGGCAGTCCCTTAGACCACTGAGCTATCTCCCCAGCCTTATATTGAATTTTGATGTTTCTCACCTTCATCTTTTCATTTTTCTTTTTGAATTTTCTAATAGACATTTGCATATAATACATACAATTCTCATTGTTTTGTTTTACTTTCAAGTACTTTGAGTCAATTTTATAAAAATAAGGAAGATAATATTTTGTATCCTGCATTTACATTTCTCAGGTTTTGATGGACATGTTTGATCAGGATGATATAGGTTTGGTTTCTTTATGTGAAGATGAACCTAGTTCTTCAGGTGAATTAAACTACTATGACCTTGTCAGAACTGAAATTGCAGAAGAAAGACAGTACCTTCGGGAACTGAACATGATCATAAAAGTGTTTCGAGTTGCCTTTCTTTCTGACAAAAAGTTATTTAAGCCTTCTGTAAGTATCTTTTCAGGTTTGAAATTCTGTATATCCCCCCAAAACAAATAGCAGCTTAAAGTCATAAATAGTAACACTATTTACTTTATTAGTATACTCTTGTATGTATTTATGGATTTATTTATTTATTTATTTATGAATTTAGTACAGGGTCTCACTACACAGATTGAACTCATAGTGATCCTCCTGTTTTTAGGCCTCCCCAGTGCTGGGATTACAGGTGCGTGCCACCACGCCCAGTCTCAATCACTGTGTCAGTGTGCCCCAAGGGCAGGGCCAGCACAGTAGGCTGGGGTTCAAACCCCCAGCCCCTGCATCTGCCTAAGTAGCTGTTTTAATCCACTGAGCTATCTGTTCAGCCCTGAGCTATCTGGCTGGCCCATATTTGTGGATTTTAAAAGGCGAAAGATTTATACGATTTGAAGAGAAAACAGAGTATGTATTTGTGGATTTTACAAGCATGTAAATTGTTATACTAATTTAATAAATGCAGTGATAATGAAAATTTGACATGAAATTAAAAGAAGGGTCTTTGTACTTCAATGTAATCTTTTCAGTGTTGTCTGAGATTTAGTCAGGTTTAATGAGATTTAGTCATTCATTTGGAAGTGGGAAAGATGTATAGTCTAGAAAAGATAGATCTGTGCTTTTTCTTGTCTTTTTGTAAATAAGATAAATAGTGAAAGTTTGAAAAATAAAACTTCATGCAGAACACCAGAGTAGAGCTCCTCTGTTTGAAGATAGGTGGGAGTGGGTTGAGCAGGGGGGACACTCAGAGCCTGTCCACCATTCTCTCGTCTCTGTACTTCCCTCCTCCAGCTCATGGAGCTCAGCTTTATACTGAGCTCTATCGCCAGCATCCACCTTGTAAATTTTGAGACATAATTTTGCTAAGTCATTAAACTGCTGGTGCTAGACTCAAATTTGTGTTTTTCCTACTGCACTCTCAGAGAGAGAGAGAGAGAGAGAGAGAGAGAGAGAGAGAGAGAGAGCGAGCGAGCGCGCAAGAGCCTTACAGATGTGTGCCATCATACTTGGATCCTCTGTAGCTTCTAAAATCAACTCGTAAATGACAAATGCTGATTTAAAAATGTTTTTTTTTTTCCTTCTTGTGCCATGTGATGTAACTATCTGTGTTTGGTCTTCATTTTAAGAACACTTAGCTTGTGAATCTTATACTTCCTAACTTCTTCCCCAAAATAACTGTTACATGAATTAATAGGGGTAATATTCAGACACAGATGACTGAATGCCTCAGATTAAGAATGGATTTAGCGGGCCGGGGAGATGGCTCAGCGGAATAAGCGAGTGCAAGGGCCTGAGTTCAATCCCCAGTTCTGCAAAAAAAAAAAAAAAAAGAATGGATTTAGCTTTTCTCATTTTTTTCTAAAAGAATGAATTAAAATGTTATTAAGGTATTTTAATTGTCCTTTAACCTTTTTTCCTTTGGCATATGTGTTTAGTCAACAGTGTTGATTAATTTCTACCTGCTGTACTGCCTTCAGTATCCATATTAGTACTACACTATTTTATTTGATGTATAGCAGTGTCACAAGATATGAGTCAGGTATTATGGATTCTGCATATGCAAATTTTCATTAAAATGGTTATAACTTAATTAGTTGTAGAGCTCAAACTTGAACTGCTGGGCTCAAGGGTTACTCTTGCCTGAGCTTTCTGAGTAGCTGGAATTCTGGGTATATTCCACCACACTCAGTTTGAGTTTGAGTTCTTTGCTGCTACATTAAAACAGAATTAGGGCCAGCCAGATAGCTCACTACACAGATCGGACTTATAGTGATCCTCCTAGTTTTTCAGCCTCCCAAGTGCTAGGATTACAGGTGTGGATTCAGTGGACTAAAGCACCTGCTTAGGCAGAGCGCAGCGGCCCGGGTTTGTAGCGTGCTGTGCTGCCCCTGGCTGAGACAGTGATTGAGACTGGGCATGGTGGTGTGTGCCTATAATCCCAGCACTTGAGAGGCTGAAAATAGGATCACTACAAGTCTGACCTCCATAGTAAGACCCTGAACACCCTGTAGACCCTGTGCCAAATACATTTTAAAAAGAAAGAAAAGAATGGAGACTAAAACAGAGTGATGGGGGCTGGGGAGATACCTCAGTAGAATAAGCACTTGTCTGGAAAGTACAAGGTCCTGAGTTCAATTCCCGGTACCGCCAAAAAAAAAAAAAAAAAAGGCCAGCCAAATAGCTCAGCAGATTAAAGCACCTGCAAGCAGGTGCAAGGGCTGGGGGTTCAATCCCCAGGCCTGCTGTGCCAGCCCCACCGCCAGGGCATGCTGAGACAGCAGTTGGGGCTGGGCATGGTGGTGCCCACCTGTAATCCCAGCTCTTGGGAGGCTGTAAACAGGCGGATCACTACAAGTCTGATCTAGTAGTGAGACCCTGAACACCCTGTAGACCCTTGCCTAAAATACAATAAACAAAAGAGAGTTAGTCGTAAGCCCCTGGTTGGCAAATGCAAGGTCCTGAGTTCGATCCCCAGTACTTCCCTCCCCCTAAAAAGATAGTCTATGTTGATATGAAGAATAAAAGCCTAATAAATACTGTTTGCTAATATTACCTTCTTTGCCTTTTTGTGTCTCATCAATTTTCATTCCTGAGGAATTAATTTATATATGTCTCTTGTTACTGGACTGATGCAGATTTGATAGAAAATTTTAGTTGTAATACTGAAGGTCAAAAGAAAGTGAGAATCTCCTTTGTCTATATGAGCATAGATTAGACTGTCAACTTTTTTTTTTTAGACTGTCAACTTTTTTTATCTGAAAGCCATCTAAATCAGAGCATAGTACTTAGCAAATATTGGACACAGAGATAAATGACTTAGAATTGATCTTAATTTACTCCTAGAACCTTCTGCCTACCTTCAAAAAGTTCACATTTGTGGAGGGCCTAATATGTACAAGGAGTACTGTGTAGAAATCATTTCATCCTCAACCCTATGAGATGTGTAACCATGGGAAGATTATTTAATTCTTTAGTACTTCTGCTTTCCTCATGTGTGGAACCAAGACTGTTGGAAGTGCACGCTCAGGGCCTCCAAATGATTGGAACATGACAAGTACCCAGGGGTAATAGCTGTGATTGTCATCCTGATCCATGAACACTCACCTAGCATGGTGTTGAAGGAAACACAAGCTTTTTTGCTGTAATCTCACATATAACCAGAAGACTTCTGGGACTAGATGTGTGTGGTTTTACACACACACACATGCACACACACGTAATTTTTCAGTGGACGCCATGTGTGCTCTGTAATTCAACTGAGCTCTGACATCGTCTGGAGGCAGTGTCATATCCTTTTAGAGGACTCATTCCCCATGTGATTACCCTGTACTTCAGATTGTGACGGCTAGTTAACTACCTGAGGCTCCTGTGATGTATCCTTGTTTGGGATAGTTTCCTGGGACAGCTCACAGAACTCGGGAAAATACTAATGGGTATTACACATGAGCA